GCAATCATTGCCACAGCTACCTCCTTTTATCATATGGCAGACATTCAAATTAACCCAACCAAATCAATCCTTACATCGAACACATCATCTACAGCCCCTATTCACTTTTTTAGCTCATCACTTACACCAATTCCAGCTAACCAACCATTCAAATTTTTAGGATGTTAGTTCACTCTTAATAATTCACATACAAAACAAAGCCAACTAATTTATGATGTAGCAATCCAACTCATCAATGTCACTAGCACAAAAATAATTACAGACAAACAAGCTATCTATATTACTAATACTGTAATCATTCCTACTATTGAATACAGATTATATAATATCATTCTTAAACACTTCAATTGTGATAGCATTTTATCCAAATACCTTATTATGATCAAACACAAAGCTAAACTTTCTCATACCAGTCCTAACAGCACTATGCTTAATCCTCATATATATAATAGAGTGCATCTAGGTGCCCCCCGACCCGATTTGGATTCTGTGATGATCATATCCAAATTTGGTATGTATGTTGTATATCTACTTTAAATACCATAATCGATTTTTTCTCTGAGTCACGCTTTTATAAAGGCTGTTTCATAATAATATTACTAGATATCAAAATTAATCAAAAATAAATATTTTGTTTAAACACAGTAATTAGTGCACAATAAATTAATTTAATACAGTTTAATTTTTATTAAAATGCCCAAGCTTCCATCAAAATATTTTCTATGATAATTCTGCTACGTGTCTAAATTAACCAAAAATATCAGCCCAAAGCTTTAATATAATCTGTCAATTTTTTTGTCATGACTATAATAATCAAATTTTACATTTAATAGGTTTTATTAGATTAAAACCAACATTTCACTATATTTAATTGTTATTAGTATTCGAGCAACAAATTTTATAAGTTAATTATATTGAAACTGTCTTTTTTTTTTTTACCTATTTTTTTATTATAAAATCAAGTCTAAATAATCAAATAATAATTGAGTATTGAATATTCTGTACAGAAACTATTATCATTATCAGTTTAGTTTTATTAAAAAATTTTCAATCAAAAGTACAACCTTGTAATTTGTTAATATCCACTATTAATGAGCTTTTAATTTAATTGCTATATATTCAGATATAATTTCTATACTACTAATCAGTTTAAACACACATAGTGGGGCAAATTTAACTACCCTTTTATGATAGCATCAAAAAAATAAAAGTTTGTTATATTTCGAGAGAATAAAATTGTTAAAAATCATGCAAATATAATTATAAATATGGTCCAAACACATACTTGACCCTATAAATGCACTTTTTTACTGTTTTCTAAATGCACAATATCAAAGATTTGGTCTTAGAATAAAATTGTTAAATATCATGCTAATATAATTTCTCTAAATGCATTATTAAATTGGCCCAAACACATACTTGACCCTATAAATACACTTTTTTTATTGTTCTCTAAATGCATAGTATTAAAGGTTTAGTCTCTATAGGGCATTTAGAAAGGTATAATTACAGTAAAACCTCTCTAAATGCACAATTAAATTCGGTCCAAACATATATACTTGAACCTATAAACACGCTTTCCCTAATTGTTTCTCTAAACATACAGTATTAAAGGTTTGGTCTCTATAGGGTGTTTAGAAAAATTTGACTGTACAATTTAAAAGCTAATTACAGTACACCATATAATCAATTTTTCTTTGTGAAATACATGGGTAAATTCATTATCTAATAATAATTTTCATGAGAGCTATATTTAGTTGGCAAAAGAAAATGTACTTTGTTCAAATTAATTCAATAAATAACTTAACTGTATATTTTATATAAATCAATTACTTCTATATTTGTGTCATAAAAAAAAGCAATTCTGTGAATAAAAAAAATCCAATAATTAAACAAAACTTATAAATATGCTTGAATATGCTAGCAAAAGAATCCTAAAGATCACTAAAAGTATTAACTGCAAATTTTTTATTAAACCTTTTTATTAAGAAAATATGAGCAATCTACATTCTGATGAATTAGTAAATGATCTAATAGATAAGATTATAGGACGTACTAATTAGCAAAATAAACTAGATAACCATGACATGCTTGTTAATAACTCAATAAATAAAGCTATTAAACATACTAATCAAGCATCTGAATTGCAAGAAGCAGAAAATATATATTATTCATATTCTGAATCCTTTTCTAGCAATAGTTCCAATTTAAAAAATATAGAATTAAATTATAGTGAACAAAGGATATTTATTAATAATGCGTTAGAAACTAGTACATATTTGTCAAATAATGAGGCTGAATTGCAAGAGAAAGATGAAAGTGACAATGCCGAATTTCAAGAAATAGACGATAATGTAATGCATAATATAGATCAAAATGATTTTATAAAAATATATACACATCTTAATATAAATACATATAAGAATTGGATTGAAAATATCCTACCAAATATCGCAGGGGCACGTTACATTCGAAAAGATACCTGTAAGAGGTTAAAATATGAGTTGAATGAAAGATATGTATGTTATTGTTATGGGCAACCATGATCAACAGCTGGTACAATGAAAAGAGCTACTAAACCTCTCTCAAATCGTAGCCATTCTCATCCTACTCAGAAACTATCAAAAAAAGTTGGTTGTAAGTCATACTTAAGGGTATTAAAAAATAGCAATAAAGAAGGAGATGTGGTTCATATTGTTCATTACACACAGCATAATGGTCATACTCCAGGTACTGATGAAGATCTGTGGCATTTTCAAATATTTCAACAGGCAAAGGAGTGGATTCATGCAAGAGCCAAATAAGGAATAAAACCAGCCCATATTGTGTCAATGTTTTATTATTGTGTTAACAATCTTAATGAAGCTGAAGATATAAATTTTTTACCTTTAATACAAAAACAGGATGCATATATCTCTTACATTGATGTGCATAATATTGTTAGTAAGGAAATGAAAGGTGTAATATTTTTAGATAATAAAAAGGATGGGCATAGGGAAAATATATCAGTTAAAGAATAAATTGCAATGTCACAAGAAGATGGATCCTATACATGTAGTAACTTAACTTGGAGTTCATCTTTAGGCTTCATATATGGATTTCAAACTATATTTCAAAGAAATATATTAAAATTAGAAAGTGCACAAATGGTTTGTATTGATGGTATACATGGAACAACATCACATAAAACACATCTCTTCACTTTACTCGTGCATGATAATAAAGGTAGTCAAGATGTACCAGTTGTGCACTTAATATCTGAAAAAAAAATCAGGAGAAACTTTAATTTATTGGCTTAAAGCCATTAAAGGTCAAAATGAAGAATGGATGCCACATACCTTTCTAACTGATTGTGATGATGTACAACAAAATGCCATTCATGCCATGTATCCTGAGGCCACAATCCTGTTATGCCAGTAACATGTAAAAAATTCCTGGCAAAAAAATAAAAATAAAATTAAAGCTAATAATAATCATTTTAAAGCATAGGAACAAAATGAAAATAATAATATATTTAAATGATCAGCAAAGCAAGTTACTCAAAAGACAGCACTAGATGAGCTTAGCATTATTATATGGATTTGAGATGCTTCTCAAGTGCAAATTAAATTTAATGAATACCTTGCACTATGGACATCCTTTGGTGAAAAAAAGTGGACAAAATATATAAAAAATGAATATAAAAGTAACTATAAAAAGTGGGTTAATGCGTACTTTCAATATGAGCACCAAGAAATAAATACTACAAATTTTTTCGAATCTTGGCATAAAAAATTTAAGTATTCTTACTTGGATGCAAAACAGAACCATAGGATAGATACTTTAATTTGGACATTGCATGCTGCTCTCAAGATACAGAATTCGAGTGTAATGCAGTTCAGTTAATGATAGGAAGAATGAAGCCCCGCCAGAAAGAACAAAGATGCTGTGAAATTTCTCGTTCAAATTTTGAGATCCTTAATCTACCTGGTAATCGTCATTATCTTATAAAATCTTTAACAGGTAATAATTATGAAGTTAGTTTAAAAGATTGTATACAAAAAAATAATAACATAAAGCCAGGACATCTTAAATGTACATGTTCTGACTTTAAGTTTTATGGAATGGCATGCAAGCATATTTTTGCTGTATGCTATAAGTTCCACATGCTACCAATTTAACATATCACATTTACATCAAGCGAAAAAGAACCTGAAGAAAATCCTGATGTTACTTTTGACGATTGGGTTGAAGCAATCCAAAAAGTTTGGAATCGGTATGATCCAAAAGACTGAAATAAAATGACCAGTTCACATTTAGAATCAATCGTAGATGCAGGAATGAAGAGAAAATCTACTATCAATTTGTATGATAAATGTGAAATTCCTACCTCTGAGACGAAAGGAATATACTATCATATTACAAAACAGAAACATTAATATCTATTTTATATATACTATAAATTAAACAAAAAAAAAGTGTATTTATTAATAATCTATTGTGATCGAATAATAAAAAAAAAAAAAATTAGTTAAGTAAAGTCAAAAGTAAAAAATAAAAATGAACTTGATAGAAATACTGAACTTGAAACATTTCTTGAAGTATATATTTAAATTAAATAAAACGATTTTAGTTTTACCTTGAAACAACTAAGCGTTTTAACAAGATACAGTGATAAAAAAAAAATCTAACAATTCTACATATAAAAATCATTTTTCTTGATGAAAACATTCTAAGAACTTTAGAGATTGCATCATAAAATATTGGAGAATTTACAAATAAGGGCCCAAAAATGAAAATAATTACAAATAAGGGTCTAAAATGAAAATAATTACAGATAGAGGCCTGATATTTAAAAATTATTACAAATAAGGGCCTAAAATAATTATATTGATATGCTTAAAAACCTATAATTTAGCTCCATTTTGATAATTTAAATATAATCATAATATAATAATTGATTGTTATTATAAGCAAATGAGATTATAGAGGAAGCGACTATAGAAAGGTCTGATTGTAATTCTAACTAATGAATGATAACTCTAAAACACCTATTTAATCACGAAATAAGACAATTAATCATGATATCATTATGATTAAATCGACTAACAATTTTGACAATATATTTGATCTTTATTTGTAATAATTTTCTAATATTGGGCCTCTATCTGTAATTATTTTCATTTTGGGCCCTTATTTGTAATTATTTTCAGTTTTAGGCCCTTATTTGTAAATTCTCCTAAAATATTTTATTTGATGTGCAAATCTGATTGGTCAAGTGAGTACGTTGAAGTAGAAGTACAATGTACATACCAAATTTGGATATGATCATCACAGAATCCAAATTGGGTGGAGAAGCATATAGATGCACTCATATATAATGTATATAATATCTGGGATATCCAATTACAACATCATATATCCTGCTTCCAACAAAGAATTAATGACCCTGAGATTCTTGATACTTCTACTAAAATCTGTTTACAGCAACTTCAAAACAACCTTTGGTCTGCTATTAACATTCTTCAGCATAGCCAACCACTAATAGATGGACCTAACAAACTTACACTTAACTTCAAAATCATACAACATTTACAACATCTTGGCATATCAATTTTAGTCAACCCCAATGTCCTGTGCCTAATACTTTTCATGATGGTTATCAACTACTAGAACCAATACTTAGTCAACATTCCAAATATCATACTTTTAGAAAACAACTTCAAAAAAACAATATATTCTATTTAAAGCAATTAAGTACTACAGACAATAATACATTACTTAAATGGCACCACCTTTTATCAAGACTCCACATTCTAACAAAAGGAAAGCAACCTCTCTGGTTTACCTACCTGGAAGATACAATCCTATCTGACAGACTATATTGCCTAATCCTCCCCCACTCTCAACCTCCAGGAGTTAATGCCTTTGCATATAATATTTCACCAATCAAGAAAAAAATTACTTACCTACAATAATGATAATGAAGAGATCATTATTGATAAAATTTGCAAATATTTTTCCAACACAAACCAGTTTTCTATCTCACATTGGAATACAAATATTGATTTAGAACATAATTACTATTATCCACTCTCAAATTTAGATTGTATACCATGTACTGGATGTCATCTTAACTCAAATAGAGTTAAGCAAACATGTACAATTAACATCTTAGCAACTATCTGTACTAGCTTCTTAGAAAGAAAAACTCCTAAATTCAACTTCAATGCTAACTTCTTGAATCTTATTTATTCAACAGCAATCAAACATCCTTTATGAATTCCTCACAACTATCCTACTATCAATATATCAAATTCAACTATTACAGAAATCTTTAAACCCAATAACTGTTCAAATAAACTTGAAGAAATTTTTCAAAACAATTTACATTATAAGGAATTTATTTTTTATACAGATGGATCAGTAACTGATATTGGAACTGAACAAAGCTCAATGGGCATTGGATGGGTCCAAATTGATA